GAGTTTTGTTTCCTCTTTCTGATGGTTCCTCCTATTGGTTTTAATTTCTACTTACAACATCACCAATGTGAAAATATGTTTAATACGAATGTAAATGTATACCCTATATCAGATTATGCGCCATCTTGGGGAAGGTGACGGGGAGGAAGGGGGAGAAAAATTTTAAACTCAAAAGCATATGGAAGTGATTACTGATAAATCAAAATAAATTAATTAAAAAAAAACAAACAAACAGAAAAAAAGTTAGAACCCAAGCTGAGCCACTAAGAAAAGGATTTTTAGAGGTAGAAATGAGGAAGAAGCCCATTCCAAGAATGGAGACTAGTTTACGTGAGTACCAGTATCTACAGTGTATAACTCATCTTTCATTTCTTCCGGGGGAAGAGCACCATATTCTGCACATAGTTGGCTTTAATAAATCTATATGTAATATTAACAACACTGAATTTGGGGATCAGAATACTGTACTTAGGTTCAAATCTCAGTTCTGCTATTTACTATACTTGTGTGACTTGAACAATTCACTTAATCTCTCTGGGCCTTGATTTCCCATAAGGAGATGATGATGATGATGATGATGATGATGATGACTGTGATTGTTCTTAACCAAAGTCCAGAAACTTTGTTATAGTTTGAATACTATATCTCAATGTAACTGGTTTTCTTTATAAACCTATGTATTTTATTTTATTCATTTGAAAATATTATTCTGAGAAGAGGTTCAAGGTCCTCACCAGGCTGCCAAAAGGGTATATGACACAGAAATGCTTAGAAACCCCTAGACTAGAAGATCTCTTAGATCTGGTGTTCCAGCTCTAAATTCTATTTACATCAAGAATATTTTGAAACGGAAAGAAAGTGGACTCTCAAGTGGTAAAAACAAAACATAAGGCCTTGCATATTGGTGCAGGCCTATAATGTTTGCTACTGGGGAGGGAGGGCAAGGCTGGTGGATCAAGTGAGGTTGAGAGTTCTGGGCAGGGCTAAAGCTGATTGTATGTCCACCCTAAATCTTGAGTAGAGGGCTACTAAAGTGCCTGAGAGGACAATAAGTCCCCATTAGAAACTGAGCAGGTGAAACCTTTGGAGCCTATCAGTAGATAGACTGGGTCCACATGTGGCCTCTCTAGTTCCAGCCTGGGTAAAATAGGAAGACCAGACTCAAAAAAGGAGAAGAAAAAAGAAAATGGGAGAGAAGGAGAAAAAGGAAAAGGGAAAGAAACAATCCAAGTACTCTGGTTTGTTTGTTTTTTTACCTTCAATAACTGAATAAAAAAGTTATTAAAAGCACTTACAATGTGCCTGCACTGTGTCAAACATTAGCGAGACAGAAACAAAGAAAACAGTCACTACCCTCAAGGAGCTTATATTTTAACAGGGGAAGACACATAAAGGTGTTTGGAAATGGCCAGGAAGAGTGTGGTGGCCTGGCTTTGAACAGGGTAAGGATCAGAGATATTAACAGAACCAAAGGAAGGCCTCCAGAACATCAGGCCAGTTTTCTACGGAGGTATATGGAAGAACAAAAGAATTGCTGAAAAGGTGAAGACATGGAGGGATGACTGTCTGCTTTGGTAGAGGGAATACTACACTGCTACACCTCTAAAAACTGGAATATCCGTACACCAAATTTCTCTAATACTTCACATGGTCAGTAAATATATATATGTGTGTGTGTGTGTATATATATATATATATACACACACATGTGTTGCATTTATATATATACAGATTGCTTTATCCTCTTTCCCAAAAATTTCAGTTCAAAAAATTCTGTCAGTTTAAAAAAAAATTCAGTGTCAGAGTTTTAATGTTATTTTGGTTAAAACAGCAAGTTAAATCAAAAAGCATTTATTAAGTGTTCACTATGCACTGAGCACTGTGTTTTAAAAGAAACCCATCTTAGGTGCAGCTAGGTGGCGAAGTGGATACAGCACCGACCCTGGAGTCAGGAGGTCCTGAGTTCAAATGCAGCCTCAGAGACATAATATTCACTAGCTGTGTGACTCTGGGCAAGTCACTTAAACTCAACTGCCTCACTGAAAAAGAAAAGAAACCCATCTTTATTTTATAGACCCTAGACCCACTATGTTCCGCCTAGGTTTCCTCTGAAGAAGTAAAGCTTCTTTCACTCTAAAAATGATAACCAACTATGCAATAAACAACTGAGTATTAAAGTGGATTCGTTGCATTTATCCTCACTGATTATAAAAACCAATGCAGCAATGACAAATTTATACTTTAGAATTTTTATTACATACATAATTACCTATGGGATTACAAACTGTAATGTACTGCTACTTTCATATAAGAAACTTCTGCAAGTTGGAAAAGAAAAAATATATATATAAAGCTGGGGGTGGTAGTAAGAGCCATATTTCTGATTGCACAGAAGTTCCTAACTACATTCTACTGTGGGATCTTAAGATATAATCACACCCTCAAACTTTTCTAGAAAATTGTAAAAATTAAAATATAGCTACTCTCCACCTTAGAAAAGCCAAACCTGTGAGTGTCTTGGAAATACAAACTACTGGCCTGCACAGACTTCAAAAAGAGTGTTCAGGAGTCACTGACCCTCAAAATAGCATATTGTAAAGTTATGTAGTAAATAGCAGTGATCTTGGTTATGTCACTTATCCATTCTGGGCCTCAGTTTCTTCACCTGCAAAATGATGTGGTTTAAGTAGTGACTCAAAGGTCCTTTACATCTCTAAATTTATAAGCCTATGATTTGCCTAAGGTCATCCAACTAACCAGTGGTAAAGCTAGGACTAGAGACTAGAAAAGCGAGTTCACCTGACAGGCAGTGCAATGTAGTCTCCTTTCAACAAAACATAAGAATTTCCTTCTTGTCACTTTAACTATCTTTATTTTATGAATTTAGAATTAGATAATTATGCCAGAGGACTGGATGAGGGATGGGGTGGGAGGCGTGTGTGTGTTGTGTTGTGTCCTGACAGACCCAGGAACCCACATACTGAGAAAGAGCTAGCCGGGCAGATGTGTGTAGTTTCCAAAAACTTGACTGATTTTTCTTTCAGTATTTAAAAATGTTTGGGAAAACTCCACAAGTTCCTGAAAGAAGTTATTGAAAAATATGGCATCCGTAAAATCTAAACTACAAAATGTGCTTCCAAAATTTACCAATAGCACACCGTTAAATACACTTCTAATGCTAGGGTCACTTGAAAGGAACAGAAAAGCAGTACTAGAAATTTGAAGGCCACATATATTATGAGTTAAGGTGGGGTGAACAAAGCATTAACAAACTGCAATAAATACAGGTTATAAAAACTTAACCAGAGCTTAGGGATTAGACCTATGATTTCACTGAAACAGTGAATTCACAGATTTTACTCCCTCAACCAAGAAGGTTCACACCTCCTCTACAATTTATCTCTTAGAGAGGCACCTAGACATTAGACGACATGCCCAGGGGCATACAGCCAGTATGTGTTCGGGAATGGAAGTCAGGTCTTTCTGGCTCCCTTTAATATGTCTCTCCAAAGATTAAATATATTAAATAATTTTTCCATGATGTGAAAGAATTCTGAAATGGACTCATTTCTTCACAATCCATGTATCTCTAAATAATACATACAGGGGGTTGCAAAATCTTAGTGCAATTTTAAGCTTTAATAGCTTTAAAAGCTATTAAAAGTGACATTATACAAGGTGTTCCTAAAGTCTTACTGCTGCTTTAAACTTTAATAGCTTTTTTTTAAAACCTATTTTCTGTGGCTTAAAAAAGCTGCACTAAGACATTTGGAACATTCTATATAATATTGTCATTTGCTTTAGCGGAGCAAATGGTAAAAAGATGCAAGGAAGGAAGGAAGGGAGAGAGGAAGGAAGGAAGGGAGGGAGGGAGGGAGGGAGGAAGGAAGGGAGGGAGGAAGGAAGGAAGGAGGGGAGGGAGGGAGGGAGGAAGGAGGTAGATGAGTGATAAAAGTATGAGCCATAAAGTTATCTTAGTAGGATGTTAAAGGGAGAAAGCCTGGATCTGCAAGGTAAGCAGACCACAGTAGTCCTTAGTTGCTGTCAACATTAGGAAGAAAGGAGAAAGAAATTTTGAAAGGTCGAAGCAGACAGAGAGATCCCAGGGGCATTGTCTGCAGACGGGAAATAAAGGACCTTGTGCGAGACTTCACCATCCGCTCCTCCTGGATAAGTGTTGGCATGAGAAAACCAAACTGTTGCCTCCCTCGGCTGGGCATCCACAGGGGGAGGGGGGTGGGCTACACTGCTTTGCACTAAACTAAGCCTGTCCAACAGCGACCCCCCTCTTTTCCTCCGCAGAATGAGTGGGTTGGACTAGATGACCTCCAAGGTCCCTTGCAGCTAGCTAGCTCTCTCTCTGTATGTGGGTTCCTGGGTATGTCAGGAGGCAACACATACACACACACACACACACACTCACACGCCTCCCACCCCACCCCTCATCCTGTCCTCTGCCTGCCAAGCAGTGCCCCCCCACCCCCAGAAGCCCCTTCCATCCTCTCGCT